GCTGGGCTCTGGCAATCCTTCTGCCTCAGCCTTCCAAGTAGCTGGAACTACAGGCGCACGTTACCACACCCGGCTAATTTTTTGATTTATTGTAGAGCTGAGGTCTCACCAAGTCGCCCAGGCGGGTCTCGAACCCGCGGGCTCACGCAATCCACTCACCTCAGCCTCCCAAAGCACGGGCTTACAGGCTGAGCCACCGAGCCTGGCTAGCATTACTTCTTTAACATCCAGTTTTACCTGTCCCTTCCTTCCACCCCCTTGCACACTCATGAGGCAGTTATGATCTGGCTCCTGCATATGAAGATCCTCATTTCCAACCTTTGTCTCTTCCTTTTTGAAACACTTTTGGACAAGGTTTAGTCTTCTCCCTTCTATGTAATTTCCTTACTTTGTATACATTCATTCTCATGATACTCTATTACTTTTTTTTTTGTTTTTTTGAATCAGAGTCTCACTGCCTAGGCTGAAGTGCAGTAGCATGCTCACAGCCACTGCAGCCTCAACCTGCTCGGCCCAGGCGATCCTTCTGCCTCAGCCTTCCAAATAGGTGGAACGACAGGCCAAGCCACCATGCCCTGCTAATTTTTTGATTTATTGTAGAGATGAGATCTCACCAAGTTGCCCAGGCTGTTCTCGAACCCCTGAGCTCAGGCAATCCTCTTGCCTTGGCCTGCCAAAGTGCTGGGACTACAGCATGTCTGGTCTACTTTGTTTTTTAGAATCTGAGTCTCACTCTGTCACGCAGGCTGGAGTGCAGTGGCACAATCATGGCTCACTGCAGCCTTGACCTCCTGGACTCAAGCAATCGTTCTGCCTTAGTCTCCCAGGTAGCTAGCTGGCACTACAGGCATATGTCCCCAGACCTGGCTAATTTTGTTTTTTATTTTTAGAGACAAAGTCTTGCTACATTGCCTAGGTTGGTCTCATACTCCTGGGCTCAAGCAATCCTCTTCCCTTGGTCTCCCAAAGTGCTGAGATTACTGGCATAAACCACCATGCTGTACCTATTCTCATTATACCCTATTATACTTTTTTTTCTTTTTTCTTTTGAGTTGGAGTCTCACTCTGTCACCCAGATGGAGTACAATGGCTGCTCCCGGCCACCGCAGCCTCGACCTGCTGGGCTCCGGCAATTCTTTCGCCTCAGCCTTCCAAGTAGCTGGAATTACAGGCACGCGCTACCATGCCCAGCTAATTTTTGATTTATTGTAGAGATGAGGTCTCGCCAAGTTGCCCATGTGGGTCTCGAACCTGTGGGCTCAGGTAATCCACTCACCTCGGCCTCCCAAAATGCTGGGATTACAGGCTGAGCCACCGAGCCCAGCATAATTTTTTTTCTATATGTCTGTCTGTACTACTACACTGTGTATTCTCTGAAAGCAAGCCCTATATTTTACCCATTTTTGGATCTGTAGCACCTGGCATAGTAATTGCTACATAGGAGGATATTTTCAGTAAATGTTTGTGAAATGAGTGAATAGGTAATAGACAAGTGTTCTACAGAAATCTTTCCTCTTAATTTCTGCTGTTTTTTTCCCATGGGCTCATATCTGACTAATGCCATACTCTGTTTAATAGTGATTCTTAAACACTGCGATTGTATATCTAATTGAAGAAAACGGCGAACACCTCTTCATAAATACGCAAGTAAATGTGGCATATAATTTCATGGGGTTAATGAAACCCTTGGAGCCAATTCGGACACTTGATACAGAAACACAATAACTCCACCTGCTTTGCAAGTTTTGCAACTGTTCAGTCTTGAAGGAACCATAACACCAAGTGAAATCTATACCTGAATTTCATCGCACTTGATTAGTTTTTCCACCTCTCCTTGACTTAGAAGAATGAACTCTTCATGCTGTACCACTTCAGGAAAATGCTTCTGGCTAAAAACTTCAGCTGCTTGCATCAGGTCAACACAGTTGTGGGTTTCAGCAAAATCCCTGATACCCAGGCAATTAGAAGGGTCCAACTGACTTTCTAAGAACTCACAGCAGGCTTGCTTTACACCTAGAACAAACACAGGCAGTGAATACTTTAGGATACTTGGTCAGGTGTGAACTGGCCTATATTCTTGAATCTCAATATCTTCTCCATATGTTATTTTTAAATTTTATTATTATTTTTTCTGAGTTGGAGTGTTACTCTGTCACCCAGGCTGGAGTGCAGTGGCATGCTTATGGCCATTGCAACCTGCTAGGTCTAGGAGATCCTTCTGTCTCAGCCTTCCAAGTAGGCACACGTCACCAGTCCCAGCTAATTTTTTGCCCAGGCCGGTCTCAAACCCCTGGGCTCAGGCAATCCTCTCACCTTTGTCTCCCAAAGTGCTGGGATTACGGGTGTGAGCCACCATACCCGGCTTCTACATGTTATTGGAGGAACTTTTACTTGACAACTAAGAAACAGATTAGAAATTTTATGCTTAAGGAATTTACTTGGATGGATTTATAGTCTATCATACTCAGTGATCTATCACAGAAACAAAGAACTGAATAACACATGCTCTCACTCATAAATGGGTCCTGAACATTTATCACAACACCACAAGAGAGGGATTGACAGTAGTGGGATACTGCCAAAGGAGGTAGGAGGGGGCCCTTAACATCACTAAGAGTACGTGATCCTAAACCAGGGGAAGTAAAGACCAGTGGGAGGCCAAACTTCATCTGCATGTAGACCACATATGTACCTAATCCTGACTTGTACCCCACATCTTAAAAATAAAATAAAATTAAAAAAAAATTTTATGCTTAAGGAATTTAAATCCAATTTCTGGCTTCTGTACTATGTAACTTTCAGCAACACCTTGACAACTGTCTCTGCTTCATTTTAAAAATGAATATAGCAAGATGAACTATTTCCAGGGACACTGGCATGATTAAACAACAATGCCTATAAAATTCTCGGGAACCAAGCTATAAAACCAATTACTAATTCAGCATCATGCACCTATTTTTCTACTCTACATGAAAACTTACTAAAGGATTCCAGTTGGCTGGGCTCGGTGGGTCAGCCTGTAATCCCAGCACTTTGGGAGGCCGAGGCAGATGGATTGCCTTGAATCTGAGTTCAAGACCAGCCTGGGCAACTTGGTGAGACCCCCGTCTCTACAATAAACAAATTTTTAAAAAGTCGGGTGTGGTAGCATGTGCCTGTAGTTCCAGGTACTTGGAAGGTTGAGGTGGAAGGGTCGCCTGAGCCCAGCAGGTCAATGCTGGGGTGGCCATGAGTGTGCCACTGCATTCCAGCCTAGGCGACAGAGTGAGACTCCAACTCAAACAAAAAAAAAAAAAAGAAGAAGATTCCAGTAAATGAAAAACAAAAAATAACAACAATCTTACATTTCTCCAGTTGAAAATTTCAGACTATAAATTTAATTTTCTAACTATGCACTAATGCAAAAACTTCACTGTTTAAATCATGTACTAAAAACTAAAAATGTGTCAGCCAGGCAGGGTGGTTCATGACTGCAATCCCAGCACTTTGGGAGGCAGAGGCAAGAGGACTGCCTGGGTCCAGGGGTTCAAGACCAGCCTGGGCAACTTGGCGGGATCTCATCTCTACAATAAATCAAAAAATTAGCCGGGCATGGTGGTACATGCCTATAGTTCCAGCTACTTGCAAGGATCACCTGAGCCCAGCAGGTCAAGGTTGTGGTGGCCGTAAGCATGCTATCACACTCCAGCCTGGGCAGAAGAGTGAGACTCTGACTCAAAAAAACTACAAATGGGCTGGGCATGGTGGGTTAGCCTGTAATCCCAGCACTTTGGGAGCCCATGGGTTCGAGGCCAGCCCAGCAGCTTGGCGAGATCTAGTCTCTACAATAAAATAAAAAATAGCCGGGTGTGGTAGTGTGCGTTGTAGTTCCGGCTACTCGGAAGGTTGAAGCGGAAGGATCACCAGGACCCAGAAGTTCAACACTGGGGTGGCCGTGAATGTGCGTGCCACTGCACTCCACCCAGGGTGAAAGAGTGAGACTCCAACTCAAAAAAAAAAAAAAAACCTGCAAATGTTTCAATTATGTGTATATAAGTACTGAAAATAATAAAAATATAATTGAATGTTAAAAAAGACAGACAAGGAACTGGCAGACCATCTCTAATACTGCAAAAATTTTAAACTTAGATATTTTACATGATTCAAAAAATTTATAGACAAATAGATCTACCATGAAAAAATCCCCCTAGCCTCCCTATCAACCTAGCCTTTTAGTGGCCAGGTAGATAAAAAGTATCCATGTAGGTAATGAATAGTATTCGTTTATTTCCTTACAGGGTTATTATATACATGTATATAGGAAAATGCATAATTTCCCCTCCTCAATTTTTTTTTTAACAGAAAAGGTGAAAATGCTTTGTTTAAAGAGTCAAATACTCATATTTGGAGAAGTTCCATTATATTGCTAAGACATCTGATCTTTTACTGCTCAAAAAGACAAAAACCATGGCCAGTAAACATGAGCATCCATAGTCTGTCTCCATACATGGTCTGTCTCCACAACATGATTAAGTTGACACTACTAATTTTAAACATTTCCAGGGTTACTTTTTTGTTGTTTGTTTGTTTGGTATTTTTTTTTTTTTTGAGTTGGAGTCTCACTTCTGTCGCCCAGGCTGGAGTGCAGTAGTACGCTGCTAATGGCCACTGTAGTCTCGACCAGCTGGGCTCAGGTGATCCTTCCACCTCAGCCATCCAAGTAACTGGAAGCCTGCCATCATGCCTGGCTAATTTTTTGATTTATTGTAGATACAAGGTCTCGTCAAGTTGCCCTGGCTGGTTTTGAACCCTTGGGCTCAAGCAATCCTCTTGCCTCCGCCTCCCAAAGTGCTGGGATTACAGGTGTTACCCACCATGCCTGGTGTTTTAGGGCTACTTATGGCATAAATAATAGCAGCTTTTAATATCTGTACCTTTCAGCTGAAGCAGACAGGCTGCAGGGAGCAGTTCTTGTACATTCTCCACTGTCACATGTACTGTTTCTGTGTACACAAAGTCCAACAGGATTTCCATGGTAGAGGAAGTTAAACCCTGGATATCAACATAAGGTTTCCCCTTCTCTGAAAGCTGAAAATTCAAAGGGTATAAAAGAATGGTGGTTATAATTCTACTAGATAAAGGTAGAATCTCATATCCAAGAGATTAAAATGATATTAATATTAATTGAATATGTGTGTGCATATATTTTTTTCTTTTTTGAGTTAGAGTTTCACTGTCACCCAGGTTGGAGTGCAGTGGCACACTCACAGGCATTACAGCCTTCATCTGCTAGGCTCAGGTGATCCTTCCACCTCAACCTTCCAAGTAGCTGGAACTACAGGCATATGCCATCACACCTAGCCAATTTTTCTTGATTTACTGTAGAGACAAAATCTCACCAAATTGCCCAGGCTGGTCTCAAACCCCTGGGCTCAGGCATCCTCTTGCCTCAGCCTCCCAAAGTGCTCGGATTACAGGCATAATTCATGGCGCCCAGCCAAATACATATCTTTAAAAATTATGATCTATTTTGTTTAATTTGTATAAAGCAAATATAGCATATATTTGTAGCTTTTCAAATGGGTTGGGTTGTTATCTGTAACTTAGGGGTACATAGTAGGTGGCACCTTCCTGGAATAAAATTTTTCAGTGAATAATTTAAAGTCAATTCATAGCCAGGCGTGGTAGGGCAAGCCTGTAGTTCCAGTCACTTGGAAGGCTGAGGTGCAAGGATCGCCGGAGCCCAGCAGGTCGAGGCTGCAGTAGCCGGCAGCGGCCACTGCACTCCAGTCTGGGTGACAGAGACTCCAACTCAAAGAATAAAAAATAAAAATAAAAAAAATAATAAAAAGTCAATTCATAATAAAACAAACATAGATGTATTATAGAACAGAATGCAAAGTTCCATGAACATACCACCAGTGTTCATGAAATTTTAGGATAAAATACAAGATTTCAAAGAAATGTCATGCTTGCCGGGCTTGGTGGCTCAGCCTGTAATCCCACGCTTTGGGAGTCCATGGGGTTCGAGACCCGCCTGGGCAACTTGGCGAGACCTCATCTCTACAATAAATCAAAAAATTAGCCGGGCGTGGTAGCACACACCTGTAGTTCCAGCTACTTGGAAGGCTAAGGCGGAAGGATCGCCAGAGCCCAGCAGGTCGAAGCTGCAATGGCCGGGAGCAGCCACTGCACTCCAGTCTGGGCAACTGAGTGAGACTCCAACTCAAAAAAAAAAAGAAATGTCATGCTTGTAGAGGATCCATTGGGCTACAGTTCCAGATTCTCCAGATTACCTGGTTCCTATAATCTGTCCTTAGACCACATTTGGCAATAATGAAAGAGAACATGCAGGTCATCCTAAGGGACTTTCTTATGTAACACCTTCTGAATACAACTGAAATGTCTGATACTTTTTCAAAATATTGAGTTGACTCAATTTGGGGACTAATTGCTAGTAGTATATTTAGTCTAAACTATTTCCTTGAAGTTATGGGTATTGATGAGGCCAGATAATCATAGAAAACTGTTTAGCTAAGAGTCCTTACTTTACAAGAAAGTAAACTATCTGAAAACTGATTACCTTAAGAAAATTTTACTAGATCTTAGCCACCAAGCCGAGCCAATTGCTCTAAATTATTACATAATGAGATTGTTTCCATATTTAAACTAAATGAGGGGAATATCATTTGTAGAATGAGAACCTTCTGGAATACAACACTTGAGCTGAATGTATTTAACATGTTGGAACAACAATCGTGAATACTTAAATGGTGTTAAATGTAAATAAAACCTAATTTTTTTTTCAAAATGATGTGCTAGTGACTTTTCTACTGTTAGGGATTGATTTTGTTGTTGGCTTTGGTAGAGAATGCTTTTTGATTGTTCTCGAGCTTATAGGGAAATCAAAGTGATAAAAACCATTTAGTTTGTAATGGAGGTACACTGTAGTTTTGAATAATATGAATCTCTAAACTAAGATCTAGTAAGCCAGGCTCGGTGGCTCAACCTGTAATCCCGCGCCTTGGGAGGCTGAGGTGAGTGGACTGCCTGAACTCACGGGTTCGAGACCCGCCTGGGCAACTTGGCGAGACCTCATCTCTACAATAAATCAAAAAATTAGCTGGGTGTGGTAGCATGAGCCTGTAGTTCCAGCTACTTGGAAGGCTGAGGTGGAAGGATCGCCGGGAGCGGCCACTGCACTCCAGTCTGGGCGACAGAGTGAGACTCCAACTAAAAATAAGTAAATACATAAATAATTTAGAGCAATTATACAGTTCACATTTATATTTTGGTTTAGCCGGGCTCGGTGGCTCAGCCTATAATCCCTCGCTTGGGGAGGCTGAGGTGAGTGGATTGCCTAAGCCCGCAGATTTGAGACCCGCCTGGGCAACTTGGCAAGACCTCGTCTCTACAATAAATAAAAAATTAGCCGGGTGTAGTAGCGCGCCTGTAGTTCCAGCTACTTGCAAGGATGAGGCGGAAGGATCACTGGGGCCTAGCAGGGCGAGGTTGCGGTGGCCAGGAGCGTGCCACTGCACTCCAGTCTGGGCACAGAGTGACACTCCAACTCAAAGAAATAAAAATAGAAAAGAAAACTAAGCCTAGAATATAGGTCTTTGTACCCTCTTCCTTATACCAATTACTCTTAAAAATACAAACAAAACCATCTGGTATCTTCTTGCCTGATCTTAGGTTTTCAAGAAGGAAATCATCACTGATGGGGAAAAAAAATTAAAGACAGACTAATCTTTTTCTTTTTTTTTTTTTTTGAGTTGGAGTCTCACTCAGTTGCCCAGACTGGAGTGCAGTGGCCACTCACGGCCACTGCAGCCTCCACCCGCTGGGCTCTGGCAATCCTTCCACCTCAGCCTTCCAAGTGGCTGGAACTACAGGCATGTGCTACCATGCCCAGCTAATTTTTGATTTATTGTAGAGACGAGGTCTCGCCAAGTTGCCCAGGTGGGTCTCGAACCCAGGGGCTCAGGCAGTCCACTCACCTCAGCCTCCCAAAGGCATGGGATTACAGGCTGAGCCACCGAGCCCGGCTGACTAATCTTTTTCAAGCTGACTTTTTTTCAGGACATACAATATATAGTTAGCAGTCTTCAGTCCTAGTCCATTTCATACTCAGCAATTACAGGATGAAACTCTCCTTACTCAGTTAAATGCCAACTGTCTTTGGTGCTCTCGGGCAGATATCATGGAGGACAGTATAGGACAAGGATCTACAATGTTATATATATTACACAAGATCATTTAAAAATTAGCCTGGATTAGCTGGAATGACCTGTAAGGTTTCTATGTTTTTCCTACCAGCCACATAACTGAGCACTAGCTCACAGCATCATAAACTGCACCAGCTTTAAAATTAGACTGTAGAATATAAAATCCATATTTCAGAGGCTGAGGAGGTACAATCGTTAAAAAACGGTTTGGGAGCCAGGCTTGGTGGCTCAGCCTGTAATCCCGCACCTTTGGGAGGCTGAGGTGAGTGGATCGCCTGAGCCCGCGGGTTCGAGACTCGCCTAGGCAACTTGGCAAGACCTCATCCCTACAATAAATCAAAAATTAGCTGGGCATGGTAACACATGCCTGTAGTTCCAGCTACTTGGAAGGCTGAGGCGGAAGGATCGCCGGAGCCCAGCGGGTAGAGGCTGCGGTGGCCAGGAGCGACCACTGCACTCCAGTCTGGGCAACAGAGTGAGACTCCAACTCAAAAAAAAAAAAAAAGGTTTGGGTTTTAGAGTTAGAAAATATAGGATTAAATCCCACTTCTACTGCTTACAAGTCATGTGGCTTTGGCAAGTCATTTAATATGGGAGATCTTGTTCCTTCATTTGTGAAATGAGATGTTAATACCTACCTCTAGGTATTAGTGTAAGTGAGATATGTATAACAACCATGAAGCACAGTACCTGGCCCATAAAAGATAGATATCAGTATTATGATACACCTCTCCTATTCTGATCCAGCAGCAACATCTTAACTAAGGTGATGGAATTAACTAAAAAAAAAATACTGGTGGTTAAAAAAACTTTTTAAAAAAGTGTTATGCTGGGCTCGGTGGCTCAGCCTGTAATCCTGCGCCTTTGGGAAGCTGAGGTGAGTGGATTGCCTGAGCCCGCAGGTTCGAGACCCGCCTGGGCAGGTGAGATCTCATCTCTACAATAAATCAAAAAAATTAGCCGGGCGTGGTAGCGTGTGCCTGTAATTCCAGCTACTCGGAAGGCTGAGGCGGAAGGATCGCCGGCGCCCAGCAGGTCGAGGCTGCAGTGGCCGGGAGCGGCCACTGCACTCCAGTCGGGTGACAGAGTGAGACTCCAACTTAAAAAAAAAAAAAAAAGTGTTATAATGAAATATTTCAAGCCGGGTGTAGTGGCTCAAGCCTGTAATCCCAGCACTTTGAAAGGCTGAGGTGAGAGGACTGCCCGGGCCCACGGGTTCAAGACCAGACTGGGCAACTTGGCGAGACTTCATCTCTACAATAAAAATAAAAATAAAAAAAATTAGCCAGGCATGATAGCATGCACCTGTAGTTCCGGCTACTTGGAAGTCTGAGGTGGAAGGATTGCCTGAGCCGAGCAGGTTAACACAGGGGTGCCATGAGTGTGCCACTGCACTCCAGCCTGAGTAACAAAGTGAGACTCCAACTCAAAAAAAAAAAAGAAAAACAACAACCTAGAAAGGTGAGGTTGTGACAGAGGTGAGAGAGAGATGGCTGTGGTCAAAGATGGTAGTTTTAGGCTGGGCGTGGTGGCTCACACTTTTAATCCCAGCACTTTGGGAGGCCAAGGCAAAGGGATAGCTTGAGCCCAATCTGGGTAACATAGTAAGACCTCCTCTCCACAAAAAAAATTTTAAAAATTAGCCTGGCATGGTGGTGTGTGCCTGTAGTCACAGTTACTCAAGAGGCTAAGGCAGAAGGATTGCCTGAGCCCTGCAGGTCGAAGCTGCTGTGAGCTGTGATCGTGCCACCACTCCAGCCTAGGCAACAGAATGAGATTCCAACTCAAAAATGAAAACAAAGACCAAAAAAAATAGAAATATTTCAGGTATATGAATAAGTATAAATTACACAATAAGCACTGGTAGATCCACCACTAAGCTTTCAAAAAAAAATAAAGATTATTTATTTGTCTGTTTTTAAAATTAGACTTGGGATCTCAAAAAACAAAAACTTGCAGTTTTCTCTTCTGTTCAGTTTTTTTTTTTTTTTTTTTTTGAGTTGGAGTCTCACTCAGTCACCCAGACTAGAGTGCAGTGAACGCTCCCGGCCACCGCAGCCTCGACCTGCTGGGCTCCAGCGATCCTTCCGCCTCAGTGTTCCAAGTAGCTGGAACTACAGGCATGCGCTACCACGCCCGGCTGATTTTTTTTTTTTTTTATTTATTGTAGAGATGAGGTCTCACAAAGTTGCCCAGGCGGGTCTCAAACCCGCGGGCTCAGGCAATTCACTCATCTCAGCCTCCCAAAGGCGTGGGATTACAGGCTGAGCCACCGAGCACAGCTCTGTTCAGCTTTCTAAGAGTACCTCATAATATATTCAGCAGCCCTACTCTACAAGTCAAGTATTCTATCAGACAATTACTAAGTAGCTTTTTCTAAAACTTTGAGAGCACTGCCCTTACTCTTGTCAAGCCAACCTTTCTCCAATTACCTTTGTTAAGTGCTTAAGAGTCAGCATCTTTTCTCAAGTTATATCCTTTATACCTATACAGTCATTCATTAAATCCTTTTTCATTTGAAATTGCTCTGAAATCTACACTGGTAGAATGGATGTTGATTTTTTTTTTACATATTGTTAGGAGGAGTGGGATGAGGTCTGAATCCTACTCCTCTTTCCTTCCTTCCTCCCTATCCTCCAGGTAGTCACTTAAAATTTTTATACTTTAGGAGAAAAACTAGTAGGCAAATTTAAAAAACAGTAAGTAAATCTAATAGCTGGTATTTTTTTTTTTTTTTTTTTGAGTTGGAGTCTCACTCTGTCGCTCAGACTGGAGCGCAGTGGCACGCTCCTGGCCACTGCAGCTTCGACCTGCTGGGCTCCGGCGATCCTTCCGCCTCAGCCTTCCAAGCAGCTGGAACTATAGGCGTGCGCTACCAAGCCCTGCTAATTTTTTGATTTATTGTAGAGATGAGGTCTTGCCAAGTTGCCCTGGCGGGTCTTGAACCTGCGGGCTCAGGCAATCCACTCACCTCAGCCTCCCAAAGTGCAGGATTACAGGCTGAGCCACCGAGCCCAGCTGATATTTGTGTTTTATTACACACTAGACACTATTCTAAACACTTTAAATGTTATTTTCTCAATCTTCACAATAACCACGTGTTCTTATATATTACCATTATCCCTAATTTAAAGATAAGGAGGCAGGGCTCACTGGCTCAGCCTGTAATCCCAGCACTTTGGTAGGCTGAGGCGAGTGGACTGCCTAAGCCCACGGATTCGAAACCAGTCGGGGCAACTTGGCGAGATCTCGTCTCTACAGTAAATCAAAGATTAGCCAGGTGTGGCAGTGCATGCCTGTAGTTCCCGCTACTTGGAAGGCTGAGGAAGAAGGATTGCCGGAGCCCAGCAGGTAGACGCTGGGGAGGCCGTGAGTGTGCCACGACACTATAGCCTAGGTGACAGAGTGAGACTCCAACTCAAAAAATAAATAAATAAATAAAAATAAAGATGAGGAAATTATGACATAAGTCATGTAGCATATCTTACCTAGAACTAACCTGCCCGTTTAACCACCATACTATAAGAATTCACTCTTTTTTTATTTTTATTTTTGAGTTGGAATCTCACTCTGTCGCCCAGACTGGAGTGCAGTGGCACGCTCCCAGCCACTGCAGCCTCGACTTGCTGGGCTCCAGTGATCCTTCCACCTCAGCCCTCCAAGTAGATGGAACTACAGGTGTGCACTACCATGCCCAGCTAGTTTTTGATTTATTGTAGAGATAAGGTCTCGCCAAGTTGCCTGGGCGGGTCTCAAACCCGTGGACTCAAGCAATCCACCTACCTCGGCCTCCCAAAGTGCTGGGATTACAGGCTGAGCCACCGCACCCAGCCAAGAACTCACTTTTATCAAACTTCTACTATTTTATTCAGCAAAATTAGACAGCTACAAGGTTCTATGTGTGAGTTTCATTTGTGTGGTGCTAACTTACCACTTACCTCACTAGTGAACATGGCACAGAAGTAATCGCTACAGGCAGCCAGCACAATCCGATGGGCAGGAAAGTCTTTCTGCTCTACCCTCAGTGTCACATCACAGAGAGTATTGCTCTTCCTGAGAGAGTTCATTGAATTGAGGATGGATTTAGCATGAGTATTTGTCATTATGTCTTTGGGGGCCATAATGCCTTCCTTAAGCAATGTAGAAAAAGAACAAATGCAGTTCTTAGGCTCTGCAAATACAAGAGGGGGAAAAAAATGAGCATATCTGAAGAAATCAGGGAAACCCAGCATATTTAATTAGCTTTACAAATTAAAGAACTAAAAAGAGGTTGCCTCAGATCCAAATATCCACAAGCAGAGGGCACGCCTATCCCCGGCACCACCGTCACAATCTAGTCACTATTACAAGTAAAAGTTACCTCTTCTTCCTCTGAATTCTTATATCATCGAGTACTCCCACCACTTGACATTTATTACAATCAATGCTGAACTATACACGTCCTATATAACTTCACAAGATTCTAATTTCAAATAACAAAATGCTTTGAAAAAATAAAATTTCCTAAAGGTATAGTATCACTACTATTTAATATCCATAAACCCAGAACTTTGGGAGGCCAAGGTAGGAGTATCGCTGAGGTTCCAGTGAGCTATAATTGCACCTCGCACTACACTCTGGGCAACAGAATGAGATCCTATCTCTAGAAAAAAAATTACATATATACATATCCATAGGAAGATAAGAATTTAGAGAGTGAGGGCCCTGCTTTATATATTTTTTCTATCATAGAAGATACACAATGTCTGCTAAGTGAATTTAAGAAAAATTGGATATTAAACTTAGAGCAAGAAAGGCCAGCCAGTGAAAATGAACTTTTTTTCTAAAGAACTATGCAAAGAATTGTTATGATGACTTCCAAATATATCTGAATTTCTTCTTAAAATGAAACTTCAATTGAGGACCCAGTACCTACACTGAATAGTGAAAACCATGCAAACTATTTATGGACTTTCACTTGCTTAAGCTATTGAAGATCAGGAGGGCATGCCTACTTTATATTAGGAAATGTCCATCATTGCTATCAATATTGAAATCCACAACTTTCTAAAATGATGCAAGGGAGGGGGGAAATCAACTGTGGTCTTCAAAAGTCCACAATTCACAAATAACTTTTCAATAGGAAAAATGAGTCCCTAAATTCTCATCTACTTTTGTCTATAGTTTGAATATTACTGTTAGCCTTCAAGATAAGCCCCCCAACAACTCTGGAAGACCCACTTTACAGAAAAAGGGGGTGACTCATCAAAGAATGTGATGTTTTCCAAAAGATTTCCCTTAAGTTAACTTAGTTTCAACTTTGGGGATGTAAGAAAGGGCTTAACAAATGTCCATTTACTGTTAACATATTCTGGGGGTTACCACTGGCCTCAGCCTATGACTGGGCTTTACAGCTTCAGTGTCAAAAATGACGGTAACCTTAATGCCGAAAGGTCTTTCTTCTTGGGGACTCCTCACCATGCAAAGTGTCAGCACATCCTTCACCCTCATCTTTCCGAAGTGATCTAATCTAGAATTCCCGTTATCATCTGAATCGAGGAGTTCTACTACGGGAGAATGGGGCGGGGGAGGGGTATAAAATTCTGGAAAGACTAAATTCTAGAGAAAGAAACGAGGTTCTCCTGACATCACCACGCATGCAGCTGGCACTGCCAGGTGGAGGTACTGAAGAGGCGCAACTCGGAGGGGAGGTGAGAGGGCGCTCGACCAGATGCCCCCAGCCTTCCTACTCTCGGGTGTCTCTCCCGTTCCGCAGGGAGACAAGGATGGGGGAAGGGCCATAACCCCGAATGGAGGGGTAGGAAGGAAAGGGCTGACAGCCACAACCATCGCGCAACTCACCTCCGCTCCCGGCCCCACCCAGCCGCGCCAGGCCCGTCCCCTGCCCGTGGGTGGTGCGCGGGGCTAGCAGGCGGCTCGGGAGAAGCCCAAGCGCCGCCGCCGCCCGGAGCCGGAGGCTCTGGAGCCGTCTGGGCTCTAGACCCCCGCGGCCGCGCGACGTGATGACGTAATGCGGCGCAAGGGCCGCCCTCCTCCCCCCTTGGGTCTGCATCACGTGGGGAGTGATGTCACGTGACCCGCATGTACGCGTGCGCCTGGCTTCCGAACTCTACGAGGGAGCCGGAGAGAAAAAGGTTGGAAGTGGGGTAGAGTGGGATCCGACAGGGAGTGGGAAGGCGGGAGGGCAGGAAGGGGGAGGGATTTACAGCTCTACTGCTCGGTGACTGGCTGAGGCTGAATTTCTACCCACTCCTCACGTAGCAGGGCGGATCGAGAGTATGCTAAAGCTTTATGTGCTAAGGATTTGATTGCAGAAATGACGTTTTACCTGCCAGGTAATTGGGAGTGCTTTCACATCGAGAAAACCCGCATAGTCTTAGTATTTCTTAAAGTACCTTATTCACAATGGCCTTTTCAGACCGACCAACGCTGTGATGCGTATCCTCTGAGGCCTGCAATCACAGCGTTCTCTGCATCATAATGGGGCCTACCATCATCTCCAGGTGATATTACTTCTTTGATTCCACGGCAATTAATTGGAAGGACCTTGTGGCCTCTAGAAGTTGGACACTGTGAGGGAAATAGCAAAGAAGTCCCAGAAGTCCTTATCGCCACTATTCATTCCTCTTCTGCTGACTTTTCACCAGGTTATGGGCGCTGAAGGTTCAGTTTAATAATTTTGGTACTGATTTTGGCGCAACCTTAACTGGCAGGAAAGGAAAAGAGTTTCATTGGTTCGGCTTATGTGGCTGACCAAACTAGATAAATGTATTTGGTTAGACCATTTTCCTCTGTGGGGCCTTTGATTATTAAGGATAATAAAACAATAGCCTAGTGGTCAGCACTCTAATTTTACATAGCATTCCCATCTTCCAATCATATCTTTCTGATCTAAAACTGTCCCTAATTTACACATTGTGGAGGGAGTGTAGGACTAATATATAAATTCCACTAGGGCATTTTAGAAATATTCATCAAAATTATGAATGCAGATATGCTTTAACAGCGATTTATTTTATTTATTTTTTGAGTTGGAGTTTCACTGACCCCCCAGACTGGAGTGCAGTGGCACGCTCCCGGCCACCGCAGCCTTGACCTGCTGGGCTCCAGTGATCCTTCCGCCTCAGCCTTC